GTCCATTGCACGATCACGGTGAACCTAGTGGCAGTACAAACGGAGGTAAGCCGGTCGATGATTTGTCGCGTATGCTGAAAACTCTTGCCAAGCTAACAGATGAGAAAGATTTGAAGATTTCACTCAACATGAAGATGTGTAAAAGGAAAAGAGTTTTAGATGATTTTATCTAAACTTCGATGTATTCGAATGGTACTTGAAAGGGTTGTATCTGGCGAAAAAGTTGGTTATTTCAATGTTAATTTGGACGTGAAAATGAATTTTGTAGTAGTTTGAAGTTTGTGAAAGTTTTGATGGCAAGTATCTAACTTTTTTTGACATCTGCTGAAAGTGTTATTCTTACAAATACTTGGGGCAAATGAATTTGGCAATTTTCATCATTTAAGTTTACTAACACAATCGATTTTCATCATTTAAGTGCACTAACACAATCGAGCTATTTACAAACATAAAAGCCATCAGTGGCTTGAAATAAACACAACTTATAAACGTCATTACAATCTCAAATAAACATAACTTATAGCTGCAAATCAGTGCACACATTATGTTTTTTCATTACTAAATACACATGCTCATTGGTGTTCATTGATACGATTGAAAAATGGTCGTATTGAAGAACCATGTAGTTGACTGTCCATTTCAAAACCAGCTGCTTGATAAGTCATTCCAGAAGTTGGAGTATATGGACCTGCAACAACAGTACCCTGTGGAATGGACTGGGTGATACTTGACATCCAACCTGGTACGACACTTTGAGGGGGTGATATCAGTGGTTGGAATGGCTGCAAGAAGAAATTTGATAAGTTGATACAATTTCACTAAAAACTATGTGAAATGAATATGTTATAAAATGATGAGGCCTTCAAATTTAATGAATTAATATATTGACTTACAAATACCATTTGTGAATACAGCAAGGGTGTGGATATGGAATATACTGCTGGTTGGGCTGTCTGAACGACATGTGAATCTTGGCCAAGATTTGTTTTTTTCAATCTTGGTCTAGGAGTCTGCATGATAGTAAAATTATTTATATTCTCTATTTGTTCTGATAATGAAGGAAAAAAAACAAAAAAATACCTTCGATTTCTTTGAAAACTCCAATGGGCTTTTGTTACGAGATTTCTTTGGCACCCCTTTCCTTTTCGAACACTGGGGATCTTGTATACTTCCTTCACATGTTTCTTGCGATACTCTAAATTGGGATCCTAAATGCAAACTTGGCAGGGAAATGCTATTACTCTCACAAATCAACTTCGTAGACATTAGCTCTTTAGATTGTGACCGAATCCAATCAACTATCTCCCGGGATCGATCTTCATTTTCTGCGACAATGTTTGCCAACGTAGCAAATTCCGTACACATTCTGTCGTACCTCATCTGCCCAGGGGTGCTAACCAAACCATCATAGTTCACGACAACCCTTGTGTGGGCTTTACAAACGTCTCTCCTCCATCTCCTCAAAATGTACCTACCCGGTATTGACGTGACTCAATTACGCATCAACACCGATATGGCATGTCTACACAAAATACCCCGAAACTCAAAGAGATGACAACTGCAAATAATATTGCACTCTTCAGCACGAAACACCACATAAAATTTTTTCTTCCTCACCTTTTCGTCATAAATGACATCTTCCTCGACCTGGTACGTCCTCCCGGAACATTCATCCGATGCAGATATCACATCGCAGTAAACCTTCCTAGTAATCTCATCTTGAAATTCTCGAAACTTGGAAATGGAATAAACTGATTGGAATTGTTTTTCCATTTCATATTTCGTTGCACATGGTACCATTTGTGAATAAGGCTTGAAATCTGCTTGGAACTCCTTCTAAACCTTATTTCTCAATGCTCGTTTGTACTGTTCAACGAATTGCTTCAACAATGTCTTCAAATGTACATACCCATCGAAAATCTGCTTGGAACTCCTTCTCAACCTTATTTCTCAATGCTCGTTTGTACTGTTCAACGAATTGCTTCAACAATGTCTTCAAATGTACATACCCATCGAAGAACGCATTTGTACTCTCACTACGTTGAGTTGTTGACATCCCTGCCCAGAAACTATTTTTCAAATAACATGGCACCCATCGATCCCTGTTCTCATACAACCCGGACGACCATTCATGATCATATAAGTTATACATATCAATCATCACTCTCCAACCTTCCTCGAACTCTTCAACGAACTGCGAGTCATACACTAATCCATGTATACAAGAAAAAATTGAGTTCTTATACACATGGTACCCAAACTTTTCAGGCAACTTCTTTAATCTGTGCCACAAACACCATTTATGCCTCGTATTTGGAAAGACTATTTCAATTGCATTTTGCATAGCCCTATCTTGATCGGTAATGATTCCATTAGGAGCTTTACCATGCATACACAATAACCATGTTTTGAACAATCAAATAAAGGTATTTGTATCCTCGTTTGATAGCAACCCACATCCAAGCAGTGTTGATTGTCTGTGATGATTTACTCCAACAAATGAGGCAAACAGCATGTCGTATTTATTAGTAAGGTAAGTCGTATCAAATGTAATGACATCCCCGAATTCTTTATATGCTTGCCTACACCTATTATCTGCCCAGAATAGATTCTTAAGTCGTGACTCATCATCTAAATCCATAGAAAAGTAAAACCCATTGCAACGTGCTTGCATTTCTGAAAAGTATGATTGTATTGCTGTGGCATCTCCTTCACCTAGTCTTAGTCGCCTCACATTTTTCACATAGTTCGACAATCTTTTTCAATGCAAGTCATATTCTCATACCCACCTGCTTCTACTACTGCAGAGTTGTAACTCTTGTGCAGAGGAATTTCAGCCATATCGTTCACTTTTAACTTTTGTTTTACATGTGCACTCAATTCTCGATTGCATCTATACAACCTTGACTTCGACGGGCTTGTCTTATGATTATGTTCGAGGTCAACCGTGCAAATTTTCCATATTCCACAAATATCTGAGGAAGCAGTTAGCCTCGCTTTGCAACCTATCTGAATTGTTGGTTGCGGCTTCAACGAAGTGCTGCTATTATTCCTTGATCTTCCCTCCCGACTACATGTCAGTGTAACATATCTCACTAATCCATCCTCACTCTTTTTGAAATTCCTTTTCCTAACCGGAAAACCTACTTTGTACGCATATCTTTTGTAAAAGTCAAACAACTCTTTTTCATCTTTGAACTGCATTCCCACCTCAGGCACTATCGTAACATTTGTTGCTAAATTATCGTTATCTTCTTCCAAGTTGACTGCATTATCCATTAACTGAATGTCATTGGATTCTACACATACTTCATCATCCAATATTTCCATTGTTTCCTTTCCTACATCAAAGTAAGACATATTCATTGTTAATAAATGACTTATAATTATCAATCAAGCAAATCAAGAGACAATTTTATAACATGGAAGATTGAGGCAACTTGGGCTTGCTTCAGAATTCTTTGCAGAAAAGACAAAAAATAACATAAAGTAAAGAAATTGAAAACAATTTGTTGTACCTCCAAACAATGAACAAGTGGACATGATTCATAAGCAAGAATCAAAGTTTAAAAATCCCAGGAGAAAAAGGATGAAAATCTGATTAAATACTTGTTTTGTTCTTGCACATCTTGTTTTTTCATTTGTTGTGTTATACTAAAATAGAAAATCCCTTGTCACCTCCTTCCTGTAATACTTCCATTTCTTGATAACATCAAGATATTAACCAGTCCTAGCAGGATATCTATTAAGGACAATGTGAATAATCACTACCCTCAAACGAAAGCACGTCAGAGTATTATTTGAAAGTATATTACAGAAAATAGTAACCTCACTCATGGACGGGCGCCAAATAGGAGAATCTCGAATGTAGAGAGAGCCTGCAAATGCAAGTCGACTAAGATGTGTTGCATCATATTCATTTCCAATATTAAATTCTCAATTTAAAGAAAAAACAAAATAAAGTGCATGAATCCCAATTTTCCAATATTAAATTCTCAATTTGGCAAAACTTTTGATAATTTTTTTTTAACAAATCTTGATAAAAGTTGGTAAAGTTGTGGTTCTTATAATGATCAATCAGGCAAATCACATTTTCCCCCTTTCACAGTAACAAGGGAACAATATACTGCTGCCAAGAAATGCTTCAGTTCGAGAGCAAACTAATCAGACCACACTGCCATGATGAATGCAAACTAATCTCTAGTAACCAATCAGAGTTAATTATATGTAATTAACTAGAGTTACTATATAATGAATGACATGACTCCGACCATCACCATTACACCATTAAGCCGAAAAATCGAAATCGCCCCAAGCAGGAAATGACCAGCAACAAACATGAAAGGGATGGATAGGTTACCAGGGCTGGGGAGGACGGCGACACCAGGGCTGAGGAGGATGACGACAGCACCGGCCGATTGATTTTCGTTTTGCCTCTTCGCGGACTGATGACGGCGACAAATGCGTTCTACGATGGCTGGAATCGACTGGAAGCGCAGTGACGACTTTCAATTGGTTGGCAGCCGATCGCGATTTTGGCGGTGTTGTGTGGGGGAGATTTGGGGAAAAAGGGGAATGGGGAAAATGTTGGAAATGGGGTTCTCATCATTTTGATTGGGCCGGGTCTTTTCTTCATTTGTTGGGTCGGGTCATTGCCATGTCAGCAATTTCAAATTGCTGTAAGTCTGACTGGGAAGCAAGACTTTAAGATCAGCATTTCTCATCAACTCGCAAGAAAATTTTGTACAACCAAGTTTTAATTTTAATCAGTTATTTTGTACAACCAATCAGGATCAGGCATTGATTGAACCGTTGGATTAGGACATCAAACTCATTCCGGCGAAATACCCGATTCAACTCAACAGAGTCTGTCTATCAACTCATTTCACTGTATCAAGTGACCATTCTCAACTCATTCGCTGATCCAGTCCCCAAATTCAAAAACCCTAAAGTCATCCAGCCAAATATCGATTCAAAGAAAGAAGAGTAATATCAAATAAATGGAAGAATACCCGGAGGAGCTTCGCACACCGCCAGTAGCTTTAGCATGTTTGGTGGGTTGCCCAGATGTCCACGCACTAATCACAGGGAACCTGCACTCTCTGCAGCCTCCCATAAATACAATTGCATTGCCCGATTTCTCCAAGATCTCAGTGATTTCCAAGGCTGCGAAAGAGAATCCGGCAGCGGGTTCGGCCAAGGCCGTCGGTGGAATTGTGAAAAGGGATTGGCTTTCAAAGCATCGGACCCGGGTTCCGGCTGTTGTCGTAGCTCTTTTTAGCTCCGATCATGTCTCCGGTGATCCCGCTCAGTGGCTTCAGGTCTGCAACAATCTCGAAAACATCAAGTACGTGCCCCTTTTACTCTCTGCAATTGTTTGTATTTAGTGTATATTGACACATATACATAGTAATGGGTTGTGGCTATGTAAAATTTTCTGGCAGGGCAACAATTCAGGGGAGAAACATCAAATTGTTGGTGGTGGTGGTTACGCAATCAGGTTCTATAGGTGGTTCTTAATTTCTTTCTCAATTAGTGCTGGTCGCATGTGAAATAGAATATTGAGGTTCATTAGAACTTGAGGTGTTTGATAAGCTCTGATTGTGATCATGTTATTCTTCTTCTGGTTGTATTACTGAAGAATACTCCAAATGTTACAGATTTTTGTGTTTAGCTTGTTGTATTCATCTGATTGAGCCAAATCTTTTGAAGGGGCTTTCGTGCATGGTTGTATTGAATCTTGTATTTGATTTATGGTTATGACATAATATACATTGATAGTTGAAAATTATAGACGTATGTCCTGATCTTCTTTATTTATGATATATTTTAGGTTATATTTTTGTGTATTTGAACTAACTCAAACATTTGAAATATAAACTAAGGTTGCTCAGGATTAAAAGTAGAACATTTCTTCCTCTTTATTCACATTTCACCATTCTAATAGTAGCTCGTTATGTCATTAGGAAGGGGATTTATATCGCATACTTGTTATACATGTGTCGAACTTAATGAAATCAGTTATGAGAATGTTGAATAAAAGCATAACAAATCGATGAGTAGAAAGATAGGGGACATGCTTTGAGAAAATGACTAAAAACTATGCTTTTAAAGGTTTAAATAAGTTTTTTATTCATTTATGAATTGTGCACGTGCTTCAAAAATAGGAAAAAATCTGTTTTCATCAATTCATGCATGTCAGATTTCACTCTGACAGAGCACCAAAGGTAAATTCTCTATATTTGTCACTCATATTTAATTTTCGATAAATGCTCTTTCAAAATGGGTGCTAATGGATATTTTTTCATTTTTCCAACATGTGGGCTACCATATTACCTGCACTGGAAAACAAAATCCAGGATAGTTATATGCGCCTATTCATGTCATCAACATCTATATGAAAAAATATCTCTTTTTCGCCCTTCACGCACCATGTGCTTGAGTTGGCTTTTTTTTTTTTTTTCTCTCTTTCTTTCTTTAGTACATGTGATCAATATTATGACAATGTAGTAGGTCATTATGACTTTGCAGTAGGTCACTTAACCACACTCTTTGAATCAGATGACACTAGTGAAGATCGCATGATATCCTTGAGGAAACGTGCAGAAGTAGATTCGAAAAATCTTGTCATCTTTGTACCAGATGATCCATTGGAGCTTAAACAATCTCTTAACAGGTATAGTACTTTGATAATGTTCTTATTAGAGTTTCTTGCTTTGATTTTTTTTATATTGTCGTAACGAATCTGTTTTCTTGGAAGAAATGGAGGGTAATTAAAAATTATATGGGAAAAAAGTATCAATTTGTTTCTCTTTATCCTGTTTTATTAAATAGATCTTTCTATAAATTGTTATTTATACTCTTATGGAAATAAAATCCTGTTTTTTGTTTTTTAATGTTTTTATTGTGAACTCTATTTTTTTTTTAAAAGTTAAAACATATGAATACTAAGTAGCTACCCTGTTGCAGGCTAGGGACTGCTTGTGCAGAACTTGCGAATGCATATTATAGAGATGAAGGGAGAAGAGTTAAAGCACGTCTTGAAAGAAAAAACTTTGGCTCAATAGACTTACATATTCGTTACTGTTTCAAAGTAAGGGCTATCTTTCATCAGGATGTAGTTCTTCATGTTGCTTGCCTTCTGTTTGCATTTATGAGTTAACTAAGACAATTTTATGTGAAATTTTTGTTGAATGCATCATTGTTTTTGTAATGATACATTCACTGGTTTGATCTTTTCAAAATTAGTAGATTGGTGTTCTGTGATACACACTTAAAATGCCACTGCCACTGCCTATGCTGTTTTTCTGTGTTCTTTACAATTTATTTTGTCCAATTGAAAACTGTAGATTAACAAGTAAACTAAACCGACAATCCTTTTGCATGAAGTAGTTGCATATTACTTGACAATTGATTTCTCCCAGGAGATATGTAAAATCAATTACCACATCCAAGTTTCAGAACTTTGGATTTTTTTGGGGGCATAGAATCTGAAATTGGATAAGTTGCGAGTAGGTAACTTATTTAATTCTATATATATATTTTTGAGAAATAAATAAATGATAAATTGTTGAATCAAATCATGTAAGAGAATATAGTTCCACATGTAGAGCCACAGATGCCAATTCCTAGCTTAGAGGATAGAACTAAGTAAAAGAGCGTACATGGAATATGATACATACTGAATGAGCATCACATAATTGAAATAGTAGCAATTAAAGTATATGTCCCCCCCACTCCAACAATATTAAAAAAAAAAAAAATCATCATCATCAAAGGGATTGAGCTATATTTTGTTGACTAACCAAGTGAGGTTGTAAAAATCACAATTTTTTTTTGTATAATGAAATAACAAACATGTCAAAAAGATTCTTCTATCCTTTTCCCGTTACTTTCTTATAACAAAAAAGAAAGAAATGCCCACCTTTTTTTCTCTGGCTGCATTTGTCAATTTTTATTTTACTAATGCAGAGAGGGAATTGTTTCTTGATTACTGAGTCTGTGAATCTATCATCTAACAACTTTTGTCTCACTTGTTGAAGTAGATTAGTTGAACTCCTGAAGCATTGGTGATTGGGTTGAATGCTTTGAGAACTCAACCAATTGATTCTGCAAACATACCTAATGAAATAAAAATTTGGTCTAAAATCTGGACAGCATCAGTATTCTGGGGGTCCTATGGGCAATTTGAATTTGTTTTTCTAAACTAATTTGTTTTGATCTGAATCATTTGCAATTCTATTACACTAGCCATGCCTTGAACCTTTTGGATAGCCTCTTGGACAACAAAAAAATTCTGCTATACAGACAACTATAAAAGTGTTATTACTTTAATCGCTATATTTAAGATGGATCATTGTATTACGCAATCTTTGAGTGGTAATTCAATTATTGAAAAATGTTGCCCGTGAATGAAATTTGTTGGTCATTCAGTTCTTTAACATCATAGAAGTATTGGAAGGAATATTATGTCATCCATTTTCTACTTTCATTATTAACTCTCTTCACTTGTACATCTGATTCTGAACCTATCAACTTCTAGGTTGCTGTATATGCAGAGTTTCGCAGAGATTGGCTTGAAGCTCTAAAGATGTACGAGGAGGCCTATCATGCTCTGCGAGAGGTATTCTCTATTTATGTCAAAAATTAATGCTCTTAGTCTGGATTGGCTTGTTACCTTTAATGACCCTTTTCGATTCTGTCAAGGTTCTATTTACGAAGTGGACCAAAAGCCCCAGGCTTCGTGAGGCTTGAGTGAAATGCGCAAAGTGTGGGGCATTATTCAAGTATTGCGCATATAATACAAAAATAAATTATCTTCAAATATTTATGACTGTTCAAAAAATTTAAATATTGCAGTTCCTTTAGTATAAGCAAACATTGCTTAATTTTCCATTGATCCAGGAAAAATCAGTCCTGGATTAATTTTTGAATATTTTTATGTGTTCCATCAATTAGTTAAATGTCAACTGCTAAAGAAGCAATAGTAGATAATAACAACAAAAAGAAACTAAAGTTTATTTCCCCAAATTGGGTCCTTTTCTACCTAAACCCTGGTTTTTATTTTAGTTTGTCTTGTGGTATCGATTGTTTCAATCCATACCACATCACAAACTGAAATATAAGTTAAAGATTAGATGGGAAGTGACAAGACAGGCCAAAAATTTGGGATAGCATTTTTCTGGTGTACTATTTTACTTTTGCTTTACACTGACGGAACTATACTTCAGTACTAGCCTAGGTTCTAGGGAACAGCTCAATACAGTTGTGCTTGGGCATGTGCCTAGATTCTTATTTAAAAAACTATAGAGTATTATACTGGCAAAAGAGGGGTGGACTGTGGAGGGGCTATGGGCTACCTGCCCCCTAAGTTTCATGACCTTTTTTTTGTATGCTTGGATTTTCAGAGATGGACTTCTTTTTGTCTTCTGTTCAGCTTTCTTCTTTTTCTTTGTTTCTTTTACTTTCCAGTTTTGCCCTCCCTTCTCTTTCTGCAACAAATTTTATTCACTTTTTGTTTTTGGATTACACCCTTGGTCAAAGATGCCTTGTGTGCAAGAAAAAATATAAGATTGTATTTCATTACTGTATCAGCACTTGAGGAAAATATCAGGGTAAAAAGCTGCATAGAATCCATTTGCCTCTATATATAGCCACTGTTAACTTTCTGGTGCGGAAGCGTTTAAGAAATTCTTGTAATAAGAATTATGTAATAAATAAGAACGATATTTGAACAATCATGTTTTGTATATATTGAATAATAATTGATTGTTGTTAAAAAATGTACAATGCATTTGTATTTATAAGCAAAACTATTCCCTAATCCTATTAATATGAGGAAACTAAATTCTAAAAGAAGATAAAATAATATCCTAATCTAAAATAAATTATAAATCCTATTCTAATCAATAAAGAAAAGAAATTCTATTCTAAACAAAATATTAGAATAAAAAGATAAAATTTATTACAACTAGACATCTTATTATAAATATATAATCCGTAAATAGGATTGTCCTACATCACTTTCTCAAGTTCCAAAGACCATGCACCTATATCATTGATAGTTCAGAATTGCTGATTTTACTTGTCCGATTGTACAAGGACCTTTGTATAACTTGAACTGTTACCCATCTTAAAATGAAGTCACGACTTGCATGATTTGATATCTATCAATGATGTCAGTGAGTTTAAGTGGTCCCAATGGTATCAAGTTTAATTTATCCTGGATGGGAAATCGCGATGCCACATTTCATTTAATTTCAGATTTTTGCACTCAGACTTTACTTTTCAAGACACAGCGATACATGCTAGACCTGCTGGTTGCTTGAGTTCAGTACAAATTTAATGCTTTCGAGTATCGATGTGAATTAATTGGTTTTATTTTGATTATGTTGTCTGCTACGTTTCTTTAGGTTAATTCTTACTTTTTTATTTGCATTCTTATACACAGGTGGTTGGCATATCAACAAGATTGCCTCTAGTCCAATCCTTAGTTGAGGTCAAGAGTATCGCAGAACAGTTCCATTTTAAGATATCAACGTTATTGCTGCATGGTGGAAAAGTTGTAGAAGCAATCACATGGTTCCGCAGGCACATTAGTTACTATAGGAGGCTTAATGGAGCTCCTGAAGTTATTTTTCTTCACTGGGAATGGTTAAGCAGGCAATATTTGGTGTTTGCTCAGCTATTGGAAACATGCTCGGTGACTGTTCAAAATCTTACAACTACAGTTTCAGTACCTGCAGATAAACAAACCGAATGGGAATTTTATCCACCTTATTATTATCAGGCTAGTAGTTTCCCTTTCAAATTTTCTGCAAAACTCTCACCAAAAGAATAAAAAATAGCAATAATGCTACATTGGAAGGGAAATGATGAAAGAAAGCCCTCAAATTTGCACCAGCTTCAATTATGGCTGCTAGTAAACTGAGCCATGTTGAGCCAGGGGATGTTAAGATCAGCTCATATACCGAAAATACCTTGTGTTCATGTTCATTAATTGTTTGTGAACAAACTAGCTTGTCGCTAACAGCTTGGATTTGAAGTTAAAGAGTATAGATATATCGACTTTTTAAGGATTGAATTATAATTCACAATTTAATTTCTAAAATATCACTAGAAGTTGTAAACTATTGGTCTATTGGAGGTACATAATGAATTAGGGGAAATTAACAAAATCTAGTAGTAGAAATTTGTTTATCGATATCTTTCAAATCTGTTCTTACGAGCTTCTTCTTCTTATTCCACTTGCTCGTGAAATGAGTCAAGAGATACAAACATGAATGAGCCTAAATGAGATTAACGCTGAGCTGTTCATGAATGGATCAGTTCATTTGCATTAATAGTATCTTTCATATGGTTGTCTGTTATTGTTGAGTCTGAGGCTATATTGCATGTGGAAGTTGTCACTGATGGATTTTTGAACTCTATAATTGTCACCTAAGAAATCAAATTTGCTTGTCTCATTTACCCTGGGTGCTACCCAAGTTCATTTTTCCTTACCCATCCCAATGATAAAATGAAATCAATGAAGAAAGTGAAATTAACAAGATAATAAACAGGACCTTCTCACTAACTCAATGTACATGTATAATTTTGTGTTTCTATCTCATTTTCCCAAGCACATTTTCTTTGGTTTCCTGTATATGAGCTTATGTTTCAACTCACCCATTTTTATTTTGTTGTTATTTCTGGATGAGCTCCTTTCTGGTATAATCTTTAGATGTACCATATTGCATAGTTGGTGTGCCTATATCGGGGCTGTCTCTAGGAAATTGTGGGGATAGGGAAGGTCACAAGTGGTCACTTACGTTGCCAGGTGGCCTTTTGTGTATCTGACCCATACACGTCCATTAGTGATCACCTGTTGAAATTAATGGTTTAGACACCACATGCCATGTCACTTTTTTCTTTTGAATTCTTAAAGTCTTGAATGTTCATAATCATTTATGAGTGTTCACTTTGAAATAAACTTTGGCTTAATGTCTTTAAACAGTTATCAGCTCACTACCTGAAGGAAAAGAATTCATGTTTGGAATTCGCAATATCTATGTCCGAAGATGTTGGTGGGATTGATGGGAGTGTGGATTCTGTTGTAGCTTCTGTTTATGTTGGTCAGTTTGCCAGATTACTTGAGCATGAGGGCACTTATGCAATGCAAGCGTGAGTTTCACTGGGCCAAATTATCTTTCTTTTCATTTATTGCAGTGTTATCTTACCCTAATATTTCCCAATAAAGATTTCCATTTTCTGTCATAGCATTTAGTAATTTCTTTTATAAATTTCATTTCAGCTTAACTGATGATGAATATGTCCGTTATATTCTTGCTGAAGGGAAGAGGTTCCAGGATTCTTTTGAAATTATTGCTCTCCTTAAAAGATCTTTTGAAGCATACAATAACTTAAAGGCCACAAGGATGGCTTCCTATTGTGGAGTCCAGATGGCCAGAGAATACTTTGTCATGGGCGAATTTAGTAATGCAAAGCAGGTCTTTGAAAATGTTGCAAGTCTTTATCGTCAAGAGGGATGGGTTACTTTGTTGTGGGAGGTCTTAGGTTATCTACGAGATTGCTCTGTGGGAATTAGTTCAGTGAAAGACTTCATAGAGTACTCACTTGAAATGGCTGCAATGCCAATAATAACTAATAATGATGCTCCGTCTTTTAGAGACTGTTGCCCAGCTGGACCTGCAAGTCTTTCGCAGAGAGAGAAGATACACGAGGAAGCATTTGGGGTCGTCACAGGAGAATCAGGAATTGCACTGAGTGAGAACAATGGCCTCAAAGTAAATGGTGATTGTCCTCTTTATCTTGAGATTGATCTTGTCAGTCCCCTAAGAGCGGTACTTCTTGCATCAGTTGCTTTTCATGAACAAATAGTTAAGCCGGGAGCTCGAACAATGATCACAATATCACTTCGGTCACAATTGCCACTAAATGTTGAGATAGATCAGTTGGAGGTGCAATTCAATCAATCAGAGTGTAATTTTATTATCACAAGTGATCAGAAGCCACACTTAGCTGCAATCTCTCATGTGCATCCTGGTCGCCGAGTGGAGACAGCTCCTACTCTGGAACTTCCTACAAGCAAATGGCTGCGATTGACCTATGACATAAAACCAGGTATGCTGTTAACACAATTTTTTTAAAATGGTTGTGTATATTAGAACATGTAATGCTGTTTGACACTGTGCTCTTTATCACATGAAGCATAGTTAATAAACATGACCAATAAACCGGGTTAACTGGTACTGAACTGGGCTGGGTTTGCAGTTAGAATTTCTTCTTGTCACTTTGTCAGTTTGCCCTGTCAGATTTTTGGCTAAGCTTAAAAAGTTTACTTCTAACTAAAAATTAAGTTTGAAGATTAGTGATTTTGTATTGATCGAAATTGAATATAAGTTACTTAATTTGATATTAAGTTAACAGTTACTTTGGAAAAAAACGACTTTTTTTACTTGAAAGTAAGAAAAGTGACTCATCCTAACATGCTTCATGACACTTCAGTTATATAGTGAGTGTTTGACACCCATTTTAATGGGTTGAAAAATTTTGGAATAGTGATTGATGTGAGAATGTGCGGTGGAAAAGTAATGAAAATTTTTAGATTTGTGTGTAGTATTAGTTTATTTGGAGAATGTGTGGTTGGAATGAAGAAAGAGAAAAAAATGAGAAATAGAATGGGTGCCAAACAGGGGCATAGTCATAAGAGCTTAACTTTCATATCTAGGTCTGAAATAAGAGAAGTATGACATGCAACTGTCTGGAACCAAAATTTGATTTCGACTTCATTAAAATTTTGATATTGATAGCTTTATTGGGTGCATCTCTCTGGGCACATAGTTTATCTTATGAGGTATGAATTAGTTAGTAAATATTAATATTGCTGTATTTTAGTTTTTCCATATGTGGCTTCCTGGAAGTTATATTATTAATTTGATAAACTCTAAAAAATATATTGTTTATACATCAATACCTCTATTAAATACAGGGTATCAAATCCCAAAAAAATAGGACTCATCTGATTTAAATATAAACTGTAGAGAGATAAAAGGTACAACTCCTAACTAACCAACCAACTGCTTATCTTATCTAACCAGATTTATTCAAATGAAAATGAAAATAAAACTAAGACTATGATAACTATATTACCATAAAATTGTAACCTCTCAACACTCCCCCTCAAGTTGGTGTGAATATATCAATAATCCCCAGCTTGTATGCACATTTTTCAAAGCCTCGTCTTGCTACACCCTTTGTAAAAATCTGTTACCTGCTCCATGGATGGCACAAACAGAACACATACTTCACCATTATCAATCTTCTCTTTTATGAAATGATTGTCAATCTCCACGTGCTTGGTGTTATCACGATGGACCGGATTATGGGCAATACTAATCACGGCCTTATTAGCACAAAGAATCTTCATGGGCTTCATACATGGCAACTTCAGTTCTTCTAGTAGTCTCCTTATCCAAATTATTTCACATGTTCTATGGGCCAATACTCGAAGTTCTGCCTCCGCACTACTTCTGGCTACTTCACTCTGTTTTTTACTTTTCCATGTAACTAAATTTCCCTAAACAAATGTATCATAACTAGAAGTGGATTATCTATCATTAATTGAGCCTGCCCAATCTGCATCTGTATAAACTTTCACACTTCTTTCTACATTCTTCCCAAAAAAAAAAAAAAAATCCTTTCCTAGGTGAGGATTTTTAAAATCCTCTAAACTGCATCTAAATGCCCTTGGCTGACCATGCTTACTGCAAAAGTAATGTCAGGTCGAGTATGTGACAAATAAATTAATCTTCCAACTAGTCTCTGGTATCTTCCCCTGTCTATTGGATCTCCTGCCTCTTTACGCAATTTTCCATTGGCACTACTGGAGTTTCACAAGGTTTACAGCCAAGCATACCCATTTCTTTCAATAAATCCATCGTATACTTTTTTTGAGATATGAAGATACCTCTCTTACTTCTTGCTTTTTCCATTCCCAAAAAATATCGAAGTTGTTCTAGGTCTTTATTCTCAAGTTCTGTAGCTAAAAACTCCTTAAGACATGCAAGTTCTTCAAAATTATCACTCGTGAGAATAATATCATCGACATATACTATCAAACTAGAAATCTTACCACCTGTATACTTGATAAACAATGTATGGTCAGCCTACCCTTGACAATATCCAAACTTTTTTACTGACTTATTGCAGCGATCAAACCATGTTCTTGGTGATTGTTTTAAGCCATGGAGTGATTTCTTCAATCGACATACATTATTACTCCCAAATTCTTTCTCGAAACCTGGTGTTGACTCCATGTAAACTTCTTCTTCCAATTCGCCATTCAAGAATGCATTCTTCACTTCCATCTGATAAAGTGGCCAATCAAGATTAGTAGCCACCGTGATTAAGAACCTAATTGTATTTAACTTGGCTACCAGTGCAAACGTCTCATTATAGTCAATACCGAAGGTTTGAGCGAACCTTTTTGCAACCAAACGAGCCTTATATCTCTCAATATTCCCATCCACTTTATATTTGATGGTGAAAAGCCATTTGCAGCCAACCGTACATTTTCCTGATGGAAGTTTCATAACATCCCATGTCTGATTTTTCTTCAAGGCATTCATTTCCTCTAAAACAGCATTTCTCCAGACCGGTTCTTTAAGAGCTTAATAAATTGTTGTTGGGACTGTTTCTGTTGACACCTTCAGGCTAAAGTCTCTGTAAGAGCATGATAGATTGCTGAATGTCATATAGTTGTGAATAGGGTGCCGTGTACAAGATCTTGTACCCTTTCTCAAGGCAATTGGCAGGTCCTCTTTATCCTGATGCTGACCAGGAGTGCTAGAAATAGGAAGTTGGTGTTTATCTATATTCAGGTCTGATTGTTGACTGTGGTTTGGGGTAGCAATGGTTTGTACATTTTGATCTTGCTTTGGCTTTCTGGTTTATACAATTATTTCAGTTTTTCCCTGCTGTTGTTGTTCTGCTCAGCTGTCTTCATAAAAAAAAAATCTGACTCTGGTGATGAACTCGGTTTAACAATCGGAGAATCTTCTGGTTCAACAATATAATCTGAAACTGATTGTCGAATTATAGGTGCAGATTCAACGCCGGAACTAGAACTCGGACTACTAGAAATAGAAAGTAAATCATCACTAAGAAAAAAATCACTTCCTTTATATTCTCCCTCTGAAGTGGATGATGAAAATAGGGCGCGTATCCTCAAAAAGTGTCACATCCATAGTAAATTCTGTATATATGTTTGGAATTGAGTCTTAGAGCCCATTTGGTGCACATTAAAATGAGGGAATGCCTTTTTTTTTTTGAAGTGATGTGATGGAGAATATGTGGTTGAAAAAGAAGGAAAAATTATTGATGAGATGAAAAATATTATTTTATTGAAGAATGTGTGGTTGAAAATGAGTAGAAGAATGAGAATGAAAAAAATAATGTGGTTCAAACAGGGGCTTAATCATTCTGTGAAAGTTTTGAAACAAACTTCCTGCTTCTGATTTTTCTTTCAACAAAAACACCCAGCAAACTCATGTGATCATCTATAAAAGTAATAAACCACTGAGCTCCTGTTATGTTTTTAATCTTAAGTGGTTCCCAAATATCACTGTGGAATATGGAAAAAGGCTTAGATAGTCTATATGGTCATGTGGGATAAGTGTTTCGAGTGTGTTTAGCTAACTGGCAAATATCACGTTTGGACAAACTTGCATCTTTATTATTGAATAAATCTGGAAACAACTTCTTCAAATAACTAAAGCTAGGATGCCCTAATCTTTTATGCGAACATGATTTGAACTAGAAACACTTTTACTTCCATAAGCTTGAAACTGTGTAGTCATCTTCCTTGGAATCTTCGAGATAGTACAAACCATTGCTTCCCTTTGCACTGCCAATCATCTTCCCCTAATACAAATCCTGAAATTTACACATACGTGGAGAAAAGTTAACTTCACAACTTAAGTCTTTGGTTAGTTTGCTTATTGAAATAAGATTACATGAAAGATTGGGAACATGTAAAACTGATTCAAGAGTAATAAGTGGTGAGACCACAATAGTCCCTCTCCCTGCAACTGAGGATAAAGAACCATCAGCAATCCTAATTTTGAGTGATCCAGAACGCGGTATATAGTCAGAAAATAACTCATAATTCCCTGTCATGTGGTCTGAAGCCCCTGAATCAATTATCCAAAGATCATTCATTGCTGTCTTCGTAATCAAAGCAATAGAGAAGCTACCTTTCTAGGCTATGTTGCTTCTGGCATTAATACTTGGTTGTGAAGTACCCTGATGAAGAGTGTTGTGGCTGGTGTGAAATACCTTGCAGATTTTTAAGCAAAGTCTGCAATTCTGACATCTGTTCAGGACTAAAATAGGGTCTCCCTTGCTGATTACCTTCATCTATTGAGGTCTGGAATCCTCTACCATCTCGTGCAGGCTGAAATTCTCTGCCATTGCCATCACCTTCACGCCTTGTTCGTCAGTTTACTGGTTTTCCATGTATCTTCCAACAATTTTCTTTAGTATGATAGGGTCTCTTACAGTAGTCACACCAATCCTTTTTTCCCTTTTTCCTCCTCGCTGCTCCTGATTTTGTTGTTGGTTATAGCTGGGTCGCTGTTAATTAGAATATCACTTTGCTGAAAGTGCTGAGTTCTGCAGAGAGTTTACCACACAACTAGATTTCAACATGACTCTCCTACTCTCTTCACGCCGAACTTCTGCAAAAGCATCTTGTATTGAGTCTATTGACTGCAGCGGCTTTGTACCAAGAATGCTTCCTTGAACCTCATGAAGAAAATCAACTCTCCTTTTCCAGCTTCCAAGCATACTGCAGATCGTCTCCTGGGCATGACCAGCTTACATCATCAAATAAGTCAAGTTTTTGCCAAAGACCCACCAAAGTATTATAGTAATTGGTTACAGTAGATTTGCCTTGCCTCATATCTCTTAATACCAAATATAATTTAAACATTTGGGATGAGTTACCAAAATCAGAATACATAGATTGGGCAAGATCCCATACCTTTTTGGTAGATTCATAAGAAAATAATTTCTACCAATCTTGGGTTCCATAGAATTTACCAACCATGCAGTCACCATGG